CCGTCACCAGGATTGCATCGGATCCGTCGAATTCCTGTAGGATCCGGTAAAATTCAGTATTGGATCCGATGGGATTCGATGGGATCCGGTGGGATCCGAGTATGGGATTGTTCGACCTGGGTATCTTTGCTTTTATGTTATGCTGCAACGACATAAAACAATTATACGATATATATGGCTCGGTAATTAACATATTCGGTGATCCAAATGAACAGAACGCAAAACAAAAATTTGATCAATTAGTGGCCTTTCAATTTGATACTGATGAAGAAAGCATAGCTACATTGACCGATACAGAAAAAAATATTTAAAGTTGCGAAAGAAAGAAAAGAAGAATTACGTCTTGTAGACGAATATCTACGTAGTAGTGGTCCTATCATTCATCAATCACCTTTCAATCAAGAAGCAATTCGATTATATCCGTCTCTTACTGTATTATTAAACAAAAAACTATGTAAAGTCAAACCTATCAATCCACTTTATTCTCCAACATTGATACGTATTTTTTATCGATGGTGGGCATATCTACCTTTATGGACTGGCTTATTGTGCAATTTTAAAGAAAGATACGCTAAGAACATCCAAAAGATCACATCTACAACATTTAACCATATTCGTCATTCCAATGCTCTAATTGAAAGTTATTTTCGAACAATGGAAAAGAGCATCTTTCAAGAGCAAGTTTATAGTCGTCCATATTTAGCCATTAATGATCTGTATCCATGTATTAACACTCAATTCAAAGCCAATGAGTATAATGTTACAGTAAGCTCCAAAGGAAGAAAAAGAAAAAAATAAAATAAAATCATCGCAGAAGAGTGGAATAAAAAAGGAAAAAATGGAAAACGTCGTACTGCATATTTGGAACATGTTGATAAATATGCAGCGAAACGCGTTCAAATGAAACAAAAAATATGATCAATCTGCGATAGTTATCAAAAAGATAAGGTAAATTATTTGTAATTTTAAATTTCTCTCGTATAATTCTTCCTCCTATTTTCAGCGAATCAGAAGATTCAACAACAGCTTCATCCAATAAGCAATCATCATCATCATCTCGCTCTAGAAATACTGACAACGATACTTCTTCAAGGTAACGATAAGAAATTGTCAATATATTAGAAATAATTATCAATTGATATATAGCTCTTCTTTGTCGGAAAGAAAGAACTCGGTATCATCTTCACTCAATGCAGATTCACCAGTAAGTAATAATTTTGCCACTGATATCGTGATGAATTTAGATACACCAGTGGGTGATGAAAACGGACAAAATGACATTTCTTGTGAGGGTGAATTCGGCAGTGATAGTAATTCTTCGATGGCAAGTACGGTATATCCTAGCGTAAATTGTACGTATCCATATTAATAATTCGAAGAGAAAAAAGAAATGAAATTATCTATATATAGCAACAAATCTGCCAACCCAACATTATTTATCGCAAACTTCCCCTCTGAAAGATACATTTCATCCAGAAACAACAGTATTTGGTGAAACGTTGAGATGGTCTAAGTTTCAAACAAAAAATGCTTTATTCGAAGGTAATAACAAACATGAATAATTCTCATTTGTATGTGTCATTTATATTTTTAGGACGCCGATACACTCTTACATTCACATGCCCTATAGATACAGCCCTATTTGCTTTATATTTTATATATCGAGTAAACGATTTTGTCTGTGAAGAAATGAACGATGCACTTGGAACATCACCGTATGCAACACTAGTCAAAACTTTTCGTATTGTGGATAAAGATGGATGGGATGCTGCTCGTATAAGTTGGTTATTACATTTTAATCTCTTGAAAACATCTGATCGAACGAAATCTTTGTTTGGCTCAGTTGATGAAATCGTTTTTTGTTTTCTTAAAAATACTCAGCGTCATTCTACTACAATTACATGTACTAATCCTCATTGCACACAAAGAAAACGCGTTATTTCATCAACAGAGATTGGACTTTGAATAAGTTGAAAATTTCGAAGAAAACAGGATTTTGAATGTAATTGAAAAAGTGAATGAAAATGATAAAATCGATTCAAAAATGGTTATTGTATTATTTCTTGTGGGTGGATGGTGGTGAAGTTCTTGTTGAAGGAAATATCTGATGTTGACTTGCTTATGGAAGGTTGGCGATGTTTGTTGATGTGAATCGGCTGTTTTGAGGAGAAATTATGAAGGGAGTGTTTTATTTGCATTGCTTCGTTCGTTTTTACTCCACAAGTTGTGTGAATGATTAATGTGCCTTATGTATGGATAGGGACATCTATGAGTACATATTTTTTGTTTCGATTCTCTTGTAATTCGCTTATGAGTGGTATGCACGATTTGGTTGTTTTTTTTTTGTAAGGAATATAATTGTCTGTTTTTTATGTAAGCAGTAGTGTTGTGAATGAGTTTTATGTGAACGATGGTGGTGAGGTTATAGAGTTTATAATTGCTCGGAATGTAGATTTTTAGATTAGTGTTGTCGTATTGTTTGTATTTAGATATACATTATCGATGAATTTTAGTTCTGTGACTGTGGATAACGTTACGCATGGGGTTCGGTTTGATATTGATTCGTTTGAAAGGAAAACAAGATTTCGGTTTTTGAAAGAAAATTTTGGATATTATTGTTATAAGTTATACGATGCTTATGAAAGGACAACTCTTAAATTGGTTCGTCTTTATAGTGATTTGAATTATTTGCATGAATGTCGACGACACGATGTTATACCGAAGTTTTTGCGATTCAAGGTTGCGAATCGTGAATTAATCTATACTCAAGCATACTGTAAATGCCAACTTGTATTGTTAAAGGAAGAAATTTATTCAAAGAAATGTAAAATTAATGATTTACGTAGAGTACAAATGAATTTGTATGAGGAGTTAAAAAATGTCTTCCCAGATTGTGTAGTAAGAAAAATAAATTTTATTATGAATGCTGTGCAATGGAAAGAAGAGAAAGTTAAATATCGTCGTCATTGTAAGAAATTCAATAATTTGATGGGCTTATATTATTTACAAGAACAGCAAAGAGAGACTCAAACTCAACTGTTAAATGAGCACCCACGAAATCAATTTATAAATGATAATGATAATAATAGGAATGATAACAACAACGCTGTTGGTGTAAATGGTAATAATAATGGATCTGAATCAAAATTAGTTTGGAATTTATCGAATCGTGATCTAACGGAAGACGAGGTTTCTGCTTTAGAAAAAGGAGTATCGTTCAATCGTCATAGAAGAGTAAATCGTACTGAAGTAATTTCCAATGTGGAGTATTTCTTTTATCAGTCATCTGGCATCCATAAAGAACAAACTGATTTTCAGAAGTGGGATGAAGATCCTGATTGTACTTCAAAGAAAGAAATTCGAATTTTAGAGCCACGACAATTATCATTTGCAGCTGATCTAAAAGGTGCTACAGAAAAATTCTTTAATCAAGCTCAACAGTCATATAGCAGTAACAGAAATAGAACGTTTAATGATAAATATGAAGAACAATTATTGATTAATTTATCCAAGGATCCGTCTATTGTTATAACTAGGCCCGACAAAGGAAAAGGTGTGGTACTAATTAACCGTACTGATTATATTGAAAAATTAGAGGAAATTTTAAGTGATACTTCAAAATTTCGATTAGTTGATAAAGATCCTACTGGTTGTCGTGAAACTGCATTAACATCGCTTTTAAGAAAAATAAAAAATGAAGGATATTTGACTGAACAAGAGTACCGGTATATTAAACCAGTAGGTTCAATTCCGGCAAGATTGTATGGATTACCCAAAATCCACAAAGAAAACAAATCTCTTAGACCTATTGTATCTTGTGTACAATCATATAATTATCGTTTAGGCAAATTTTTAGCTGGCACCATGAAGTCCATACGGAACAGTAAATTTTCATTAAAAAACACCGACGAGTTTCAGAAATTTTTAAAGCAAAATTCATCGTTATCAATTAACAAGATGATGAGCTTCGATATAGAAAGCTTATTTACAAATATTCCAGTGAAAAGAACAATCGATATCATATGTTATAAATTATATTGCACTGATCCAAAATTACGACCATATATTCCTGAACATTATTTTCGTCAAATGTTAGACTATGCTACAAAATGGACTCATTTTCTGTTCAATAACAAATACTATGATCAATCCGACGGGGTTTCAATGGGAACGCCATTAGCGGCAGTTTTTGCTGAAATTTTTATGGCAGATTTTGAAGAGAAGTATCTACCCGGTATTTTAAATCAAAAAGATGCAAAACTATTAGCTTGGTGTCGTTACGTGGATGACACGTTTACCATTGTTAAATCGGATGCAAATGAAGATGAATTTCGTGCGCTCTTAAATACTTTCGATCCATGTATTAGATTTACAGTTGAACCGGAAGCCAATAATACCATACTGTTTCTTGATGTGTTAGTGAAACGGAACAATAAAGGATTCGACACCACAGTACATAGAAAAAAGACCGCAACCAAACTAATGTTAAAGTGGAATAGCTTAATTCCAACAGCATATAAAAAATCATCCATCTACCCATTAGTTAACAGAGCTATTCGAGTATGCTCCACGTATGAATCATTACACAATGAACTACTGTACATTCGTTCAATGGCAGAATTTAATGGATATCCATCGAACTTCGTGCAAAATATCATAAACAAGCAGTTGAATAAATTCTATCAAGAAAAACCAAGTGAGAATTTGCCACAAACAACACAAAATGAAACTAATACATATAAATATATTCAAGTACCATATATTGGTAAACCAAGCTATAACTATTCACAGAAATTACAATCAATTATCAGGCAATACAATCCAACAGCACAGGTACGAGTAATTTACACGACAACAAATCAAACTCGAAGATACTTTCCAACGAAGGATAAACTGAAATCAAATAAAAAAGCCGGTGTAGTATACGAATTATCCTGCTCAGATTGCAATAAAACCTATATTGGCAAAACAATTAGACAAAGTTATCGACGTGTAAACGAACACGAAAAGGATGCCGTAAAAGCGCTAATAACTATCAGCAAAGCATCATCAATACTCCAAGAACGTAAACATATTAAACAACATATAAATACCAAAAAAAGCCGTATTGAGAAAAAACCATCATCTCAACCATTACGTAAGAGTCTCCGATTAATTAACAAACCAATACAATCTCAATCACACAACCACAGCTCACAATCCAATCTTCCCTATTACAAACCACAATCCGCATTGGGAAAACATGCATTTCAAACCGCGCATAAATTCAATTTTGAAAACATCAATATTCTTGATCAAGATCAGAAACATTATCGTTTGCTACTCAAAGAGTCCCTTCATATTCGAGTAAAAAAGCCTCAACTCAATGCCACAGACATATCTGTTCCACTATACGTATTTCCAGAAGGAATCATATCAACCAAACACTCCAGAGCACCATCCCAGCAACATTGAAACAACACGCACAGTTACTCATTTTCCACATCGTTTATCATTTTCATTCACTTTTTCAATTACATTCAAAATCCTGTTTTCTTCGAAATTTTCAACTTATTCAATATCATTATTCTATGGTTAAACAGGTCATATAGATTTGATCATTGAAATCGACTTGTTTGTTATCATTTGCAACGATTAGATTTTCAAAATCAAGTCAATCTGCTATTTTTCAATAACATCAAAAAAACAGTACTTTCTGATACTGAAGATGAACTTTGAATAGTTCGAAAGCTCTATTTCATGTTAACACATATTAACTTCTACAAGAAATAATACAATAACCATTTTTGAATCGATTTTATCATTTTCATTCACTTTTTCAAGAGATTGGACTGTTGTAAGTTTTGATTCGATAATATCCAAAATCTTATTTTATTATCAATATTTATAGTCCTCATGATGATCACGTCGAAAATTTCAAAGTTGAAACAACGGGTGTGTGCGGGGCAATGATCAAACGATATGATGAAATGACAGAAACAGAAGCAATTAAACAAAAATATAGAGATGGTCGAGTGCCGTTTGTTGATAATGCAACAGACGAGAAAGGATACATGTGAGTCACTTTCTTTCATCTCGCTTCATATATTGTCTATCATGTTCATCTCATAGGCGTGCATGGATATGTAATCATACAACGATTTCTTCTGTATCTCAATTTGAAAATGAACTTCCACTAGTTCTTATTGCTAATCTTAAACCAATTTCGAAACGTAGTGACGAAGGATACGAGGCAAATCCAGTGCGACTACGTGACATGAAAAAAAATATAAAAATCAATACAACCAAGTAATTTCTGCTATTTTTCTATTTTCTTGTTTATTTGAGCATTGTTCATTCTCTTCTAGATATCAACTTTATGCAACAATACATCACAAAGATGCACATTTCACAGCTACTCTAATTGATCCACTGAATAGATTGTATATATTTGACGATCAGAAAGGTGTACGAGAAGTGCGAAGTTCAACAGACATGATGGAATATGGACTATATGTTCGACTTCCTGACTTTTAATAACTTCGTTATTTTTCTATTCATTGATTTTTCTTTGTTGTATTCTAATGTACAAAATGTTGAAATAAAACAAACTAATTATGAATGACTAATTAGCAATGAAAATCATCGTATACATTTTATCTCTTGTTCTCTTTTCATGTCTTCGATGAATACGACGTCCGTCATTGTAGGCAATACGTTAAAAAGAAAGAGAAGATATGAATTCAATATGTAGTGCGTACTTGGAACAGTCTGAAAGAAACAAACTAACGAAAATAAAAAGTTAAGTGGATTTGAATGAAACTGAATTCATCTCCATTACTTAAGAAAGTGCTCTCAAAAATATCAAAATCAGTTGCATTGTTCTTTTTTCATAAAAGAGATATATATGAAAGTTCAGTGATAATTGAATGAAAAGAATGAAAAAAACACTTTCTTAATTACATTTTATCTTTGAACTCGCTCACTGTCGGGCATGTTACATACAGAGATTAATTTGCGTAATTTAATTAGTCACTTCCATCAGCTAAGATGTATAAATAAAGTCTAAAAACTGAGATAATTTATCATTCACTCGAATATCTATACAAAATGTTCTTCGCACTTATCTTTATCACAATTATTACTTTAACAAATTCAGTTCCAGTAACATGTATTTATTTTTAATAAAACGCAATTCTAATTGAAATTTTGTTTTTAGGTATATCATAACCTACACGATTTAATAAATAAAGAAGTTTTGTTATCGACAACTAATAGTACTATTCGTTCTACTACTACTTCAACAACAGTTGCACATAGAATTGAAAAAATTAGCCGAATGAAAGACACAATTGATGCTGCAACGGATTATATTCGACATTTGTTACCCTCAATTCTTGCCTTTTCGTCAGTGATATTTTCTATTATATGTTTTTATTTTAGAAAATGTCTTCTTAATGGTGGCCACTGTAAAGTAAGAATAAAATAATTAATACCATATATATACATAAAGACGTTTACATTTTTTAGGGCGCTTGGTTTTACCCAAAATCACGTGAATTGTATAAAAGACGTCAAGAGATTAAACGAAGTAAGTAATTATTGATTATTCTTGAGGTTGTACATATTTCTATATTAATAGATCAAAAAATAATACTGAATCAACTTGTCAATCAATCGAATCCTGTATATACAATTGTTTAATTCATTATTTGTTGTTCTTTTGTTTCTTATTCAATAAAATTTATTTTCCATATAACTTTGATAACAACGATTTGTTTCATAAAATAACAATTGATATTGATAAGATCACTGCCTTTTGTCATGATATCTTTTATTTAGAAATCGATATGACAGAAGAAAGTGTTACTTGAAATCTTCGTATTATCGATCTATATTTCTAAAATAAAATTAAATCAAAGAGATATTTATGTTGTTAGAGGCAATGTAACAGATGACGAGTGACCTATATCAAAGAATATAAATTGATTGGCCATAGATATCTCCAATTGAATTTTTTTTGACCGATCATCTTTTTAATACTTATACACACACATATATATATATATATATAAGACAAGAGACAATCAGACAGAAAAAACTGCTCACATCCTCTTTGATTTTTTCACGGGCAATTATTTCTGCTACTAGCGTTACTTCAATAACTTAGTCAAATGAATTATATAGCAAGAATTTTGTTATTCATTAATTTGATTACCACAACTTTGCTTGTTTCCATTCAAGATTTGTCGGATAATGAAGTCGTCATTGATGTCGTAAAAGGTTATACTCTTCGACGTATAGGTGTATATTCTTCGCAACCCAGGGCAATGATTCCGGCTCCCGGATCCGTGTAATTCCAGCAGGAACCCGCGGGAAAAACCAACGGTTCCTGCAGGAAGGCGCTGGAAATCAACGGGAAGCGGAAGCAGGAATCCTTTACCCGGATCCTGCGGCCGTTTTTGCCTGGTTCCTTCCAGCTCCGGAGAGAACCGAATAATTACGTGAGCCGGATCCGTTCGAAGGATTCCTGCTTCCACTTTCCACTGATTTCCGGTGTCTTCCTTCCGGATCCAGCCCGTACTTTTCGACATGGGAGTGTGTGACATAGTGCCATGATTCAGTTGAGCACTANCCGTTTTTGCCTGGTTCCTTCCAGCTCCGGAGAGAACCGAATAATTACGTGAGCCGGATCCGTTCGAAGGATTCCTGCTTCCACTTTCCACTGATTTCCGGTGTCTTCCTTCCGGATCCAGCCCGTACTTTTCGACATGGGAAGTTGTACCTGAAGTTATTCATACATTCATAACTATTAATAACTTGTGTGTTAGGGAGTCACAAACAGATGTATGTTTGTATGCTTCTTCTTATGATAGTAACAATGTCTCACAAAATTAATTAATAAAGAAATTAATCAAATTCTCACGCAATATCATACCGAACATATTATCAAGGAAGCACAATCAACGATTCATTTTATTGATAAACAGTTCTATTGATTTGAATTTCTTTTTATCAACAATATATACAAAATTTGATGGTACACGTATAATTGAAAATGCAAAGCACTCATTAGCCATTTTTCTTCAAACTGTTATCAGACAATCTGTATTCTTATTACGTCATTGTTCAATGAATTCTCAAAATTCATTACGTTCTCAACCATGTCTAGTTGTATCGACATTATTTGAACGCATCCCAACTGACGCAACAGCAAATGTTTTTATTTATCGTTTAACTCCTCTACCAATTGTTTCTAGTGGTAATAAATATATTTATTCAAATCTTCCAAAAATAATTGGAATAAATCCAACGTATCAATCAATAATTACATGGAATAACGACGTCGATATTCAACAATGTACATTTTCGTCTATCATTCGATGTGAACAATTGCCTATATCAATTATTGAATGATGATTAATCAGTCATCAGTGCGTGCCAAATTAGTCGATCACAAAACATCGATCAAGATGTGATTAATATTGTCAATAACATTTGGTTATTTCTTAATATTCGTCAAACTGAATGCTGCCAGATTTAGTCAGCATCAAAAGAACTAACCGAACCATTATTGGTATTTGAACCATCAATCGTACATATGCCATGTGACAAAATAATTACATGTACTAGCAATCAATTACATTCATCATTATGTGCACAACATCGAATTATCGTTAGGTCAAATATCGCATCAAAGTTTCAACAGCTAATAAGTCGCGTCGTACCATTGAGACATATGGCCGGAACTTTAATATCGAATTATCAACAATAAACTGTAGAATCAATAAAAGAATTATCGACAGTTTTGCATCAAAAGGATCATGGATATATTATTTTATGGACTAGGTATAGTATTAACCATTGTTCTGGCTCTACTTTCCTATATTGGCAACTACCTTATACACAGAGTACATAATTCAATACGCAAACTCAGAAATGAGATAGATGAAATCTTAACTGTATAATAATAGTTGTGAATATTTCCTACTTAATGTTTCGTTTCTATAATTTCTTCATTCTTGAAATTGAAATTGTCTCATAGATTATTTGCTTAATAAACTTGCTCATTCACAACAACATATAGACTCTATTTTATTTTCTTATGTAATTCACGCGAATCGAATAAATAAGGTGACCATTCGATAGAGGTCGTCGAGTTCTATCTCCTCTCAGAGTTTCATCGCTTGGTCAGACGGACTAGCGAATCCCTCTAGGTTTTACTGAAACTTTTGATTTTTTTAGCCCTTTTTTGCATTATTTTGGGATTTTCTACCCGAAGGGGGGTCTTTTCGGTAAACCAATGTAATCATTTGATAGAGGTTGTCGAGCTGTATCTTGGTTCGTACTTAGTCAGATTTGGCTCGATGAATTGGCGAATCCTTCTGGAAAATACTCGAATCCTGACCCAAGATATGTTACGTTTTGAATTGTTATGAACTCGCTAACTGATAAATGATTGTTCTCTAAAATGGAAAAAAGTTTTTAGCCTTTGACAGGAACGCTTTAGCTGTATATGATCAATTTATGCTGAAACCTTGTAGGTTCCTTGTGGTACCTTTTTTTACAGTGTGGTCGTTCGTTTATTGATGTAAGAAAAAAAATGATAAATCAGCTACCTTTGTTTAATTGTTTTTTTGATGGAAATCTTCGTAGGTAGGAGGAAGTACCGACGGTTGATCTATCATAATTGTTACTGAATTTTGTTGTATCACGTCATCATACGAAGGTAGTAATGTTGGGATATGTTGTGCGGCTATGATTACTGCTGCCCAGTCATTACAGTTAATGTTGTCTGATGGTTGTAATTTGACTGAAACTATTGAGTTCTTTTGCTCCGTATTTCCGATCAATTTTTCTGGTTCTGAAAGTGATGAATTCCAGTTTTCTGTACGCAACAATCTTGTTGATCGATCTATTTGTAGGGAGGTCCATCCTTCTTCAATGGCAATATGACATATTACCGCACCCACAAGAACTAGAAAAACTCCTACAGCAAGGCCTACGCCAATATATATAGCTCGTTTGGTAATAGCTTCCATTCCACATTTATCAGAAACGGTTCCACAATTTCCGTTGACTAGAAAACGAAGAAACGGTATCGAATTAAAATGAAAACATGTACACGGCAGTCGATTATTTAACTCACTGGAACAGCACCAGCTGTTTGATGGATCACCACATAGTTGCCAAGGTCCTATAAATTTAATATTTTATATTAAAACACACGAGTAGAAAAATGTTATGAAATGAAAATATGATGTACCTAAAAAGATCAAAATTCTCACTATACAAAAGATTAAATCAGAACTAAACATCACAACAGTGAGGATGAGATTGTGTGTATAACTAACAAAAAAGGGGTATTTTTCAACAAATCTTTAGAATGAAATATGAACGGGTAGGCGAGAATATTCTGTTCGACTTTCGCCTACCTGCCTTTTTTGGAAAAGCTAGTCTTCAAACGTGCTACTATACGGAACGATTTTTTCGACCTTATAAAACACATGGAAGAACTGATTGAATGACATTGGCACTTAGTTATAATATGTCGCAAAATCTATTTAGAAAACGTTACCCAATACTGCATAGGCACAAGCGTCTGCTTGATGTTTTTGACGGTAGCTTTCTGAAATTCTGTGAGCCATTTGTATTGCTTGTTCGTACCTTTGATATTCAGCATGAACGTTGTTGGGGTCAAAATTTGGAATAATCTTTGTTTGACTTTTAAAATCACTCTGTTGAAAAATTGTTTTTAAATTCAACAATGGTGATCGTTTCCCTGCCGGAATCTGATCAGATGCGTACAATATTTCTCGTCGTTTTCTTGTCGTCAGTAGTTTTTGGGATAAGCCATTCGGACTAGAATCATCGGATTGAACGAGTAGCAATTGAACAAGAAGAAAGATTAAATTTGAGTAATTCGCCATCAGCAATCTATTATGGTAGACGAAAATTGAATATGTATTATATTAATTGTTTATTCCCTCGACTGAAAGGAGTGTCATATAAAAAAAAAAGTTTGTTTGTCTGTCTGTCTGTCGGTGTCAGGGTGAAAGGTCAAACGTCAAAAAAACATTTTTTTGAAAAAGGCTCAAAACTTCATAAAACATCGTTCGGGAGGGATCCTGAGGCTCGAGGTTGGCTGGATGACGGGTGAAGGCGCAGGGACGTGACAGAAATGAAGAAAACATTTCAACCGCGCCTGAGAGGTGGGCTACATAGAAGAATTTATTACGAAAAAGTAAAAATACACTGGGTTGACTGTCGCATACCAAAGGCCAGTAATCCAAAAATACATTCATTCAGAAGTTACATACTGGAGAGCAATCTTAAATGCTGAGCTTCGATATATTGAGAGTTTTTGTAGGCCTTTAAGCCTTTTAATTAAGGAGATAACCTCAAATGTTCGGACGAGGATAATCTTATCCATGAGCTGCTGATGGAATGCGAATTAGTTTTCGATACTTTTTAGTTGCACACGGGTAATTATATGATAGATAGGGACAGCTTTGGAGCGGCGAGTTGTGAGTGGCGCCCCTGTGGGGCGCCGACGAACAACGAGCTACGCCTAGTAATCTAGCTAGTTACAAAAGTATCAACAATCCGACGCGTTCGAATGCGAAATATATACAGAGTCTCATTTGGTTTTACTGAAATTATCTTTCATTTAGAAAAAGGAGGACATGTTTAAAAGTGCAAATCCATAATAGTCATTTATAGCGAACTTTTGCTTTCTGTGAGGAGTGATTGTCAGTCAGGAATATCGAATAATTAAAAGGAACACAAGTGGTATTTTGGTTCTTTTGAAGACTGTCAGACGAATGAAGATCAGTTTCTAGGGGCCCTTTCAAAGGTTATACTTCTGTCTTTTTTTGCATAAAATGCATATAAGACTATTGTGTTTTCAGTCAGTGGTTCAGTCGAGGGTATAGCGAGTCTGCCTCGACGAGCGTTACTAGTATAAATACTGCTAGTTATTTCGTACCACTAATCGATTCCACAAAGTATGAATATAAATGGTTTGCTAATTGCCTTGGTTTTCACCGATTAAGTTTTATACTGACGATAACTACTGCGACTCACATAGGTGTACTTCTAGAGGATAATGAACGTATAGAAAATAAAAAATCTCTCTTTCCTCACGATGCAGTTCTATTTTTTGGTAAATGACTTTTTTCGTTCTATTAGTCGTTAAATACCATAATCTCAAGTGGAAGCAAGATAAGCAGCGATTGTTTCTGTTATCTATGAATACTGCGCAACAGCGACAGTACACAAGAATGACTTTTAGTGCAGGAAATAAGCAACATATGTGATTTCTCTGCGTGTAGAACAAAAAACGTTTCTTCGTTTGGCATATGCTATTTTTCTTATTTTATTACGCTACGAACTAACATCGAAGTAGAGTTTAAAACACAATGTTGCAGCACTCACGATTTCTTACTCTCTGTATTAATTATGCATGTATAGATTCGAAAAAAATGCAAAAGAAGAATATGTGAGCTTACATGAAGACGACAAGACAGGTAATGCAATCGAGTATATAGAAGTACTAAAATATACAGCCAATAAAGAACGTTGGATGATAAAGATAAGGACGAAAGACATATTGATTGCTAAGGAGAATGTGTCATTATTAACAAAAACAAATTCGCATTTTTCCAAGAACAGATAAATTCATACAGTCGAAATACGCACAAAATGTTAATCACGTTAACTAGCGCGAGTATAATTGATATTTGTCATATTCACAGCCACCTCTTCCGGATATGAATAACAACATGTTGTTCCTCGTTAACAGACAAAAAATTACACTTTTTAAAGTTATATAGCGGCAAGAATAGATAGACGATAATATATGCGAGTTGGCAATATTTTGAAGAAGAAATGAAGCAAGGTGTGCTAATTTACAACTTCAATTAAAGCGCCAAAAAAGAACTCATTAAAAATCCATGAATTAATTGTTTGTTTTACTATCATATATTCATAAACGAAACAAAAAAAAACGTTTGATAAAAAGAATATTCATAATAAATATCTCTAATGGCTAGTTGGAAACTTAAAGAAAAATTAACCGAACATGACATTTTCCACATTTTCGTATGTATCAAAAAAATACGAGCAGGGGACGAAAAAAAATGGTGAGAATTATTTAAAGAATTCAATCAGAGTGATAATGATCAATTCAAACAGCACAATTTGTACTTCTTCCAATTATTTGGATGAATATAGAAATTTAATCACAAAAACGATCATAACTGATGAAAAGGATAAACGACAAAATCTTTGATCAGATACGTTTTTCTATTTTCATGTTTTTAACAAAAAAATCTATTCTAAAAAGGTCTTCGTTGATGCAATTTGATCGGTTTGTTGTCTCCCAGTTGCATCTATAGAATTAACAAATTTAAATATGCTGAATAAGAAACAAAATGAGATTCCAAATTATGTAAATGACCTTGTATTGTCTTCATAAATTAAACAAATTTCATAGACTAAATTTTAAACCGAGAACTGAAATTGATTATTTTTCAAATAAATTTTGGATTTTATCTGTCAAGTCGTATAACAAAGTAGATTCTGTCGTTGATTTTTAAAAGGAATCGTTATTGTATAGATTATATTGAGAAAATAAACTTGGATTAAATCAACAAGTTTTGACTGAATTACATAGATATTGTAGATCACAAATGCAGAAATTTGTGTTAATAAGACATAGATTATAAAAACATCTACATTCATTATGACGCTTAGAATCAATGAAATTCTCCAGACTATCCTAATAGCTGCCAGATTAAATGATTATAATCATTTATAATACAATATGGTTTGCTTTAATCTCAAATAAAACTTCTTCATTTTTGTTTTCAAACTTTGTATCGACAGAGAAGAAATGAATCAAATAATAGACACAAAGCTATAGAATCGCCTTCTCAGACCACCAAACATAATGTAATTTAAGATTTGAACATCACTTTAAAAAAAAAGAAAAGAAAAGAATAATAATTCATATTTTAGAACTAATTTATGGATTGAGATCGAACTCCAGTGAATAAAGATTTCATCTCGCATATGGCAAAACGAAATACAATGAATTTTCCGAAAAATAAATCCAACTCGGATTTTACTTTGACGAACGTATAAAGTGCTTCAATATGTTAGTCAAGAAAACTAAACATTGAACGCATATCAAAATATACCTTGGTATGTAGATAAAAAAGGTAAAATTTTTATGTAATAGAAGCATTCAACCCGAATATTCTTTGTATATAAAATGAGTGTCACTTGTGTCGAAAGTTTATATTCAATTGTTTTTGTGCACATGCACATGATATTGTAGAATTTGTTTAACAGATTCATCATGCACTATTGAATCATACTTAAATCATGTCTTGCGAAGCACTTGGAAAGAAAAGTGCGACTAATGATATCATAAATTTAAAACGAATTTTTCCAGTTACACGTCTTTTGGAAACTCAATAGTTCATCTCTGTTTCTTGTTGACATAGAAATCATAAGTATACCGCAGATCTTTCAAATCTTATTGAGTTCAAACTACACTACAGTCACCTTTTCATACAGCGACAACTGCACAGGGAGCGTTGAAAGGCAGCTGTATTACTTTTCTTCAAAATATTCCGAATATTGCTAGCAGTTTACCACTAGCAATAGACGATTTATGCGACACGCTGAAAGTAATATTTATCGGTGCACGTCCTCCTCAACGCATCCAACTTAAGAGAGTTCTTACAATCCGAAAGAAAAAGGTGGCGGAAGCTCTGCATTGGTTAAAAAAATACAATAGACTTTATAAGGACGTCGACATAAATCAGGATAATATTATGAAACTACCAGAAGATGATATACCAGAATCGATCATGTTAACAATAGAACAAAACATTGGTGACGAGGCGACACAGCTATCTGAAAGAGCTGGCTATATTCCAGATCCTTTACTACATTCAACAGAATCAGACACATCAGACAGTGTTCCTATGAACAATAGGTATATATAATTCT